TTTAACAGATAACAGTTGACAGATAATCAGAGTTGGAAGGGACCTTATAGGCCATCCAGTACAAACCCCTGCCCAAGCGGGAGACCCTATACCATTTCTGACAAATGGCAGGCCAATCTCTTCTTGAAGGTCTCAAGTGATGGCACTCTCTCAACTTCCGAAGGCAACTTCTGTTCCATGGGTTGATTATTCTCACTGTCAGAAAGTTTCTCCTTATTTCCAGGTTAAATCTCTCTCTTTGTTCAGTTTCCATCCATTATTCCTTGTCTGGCCTTCGGGTGCTTTAGAAAATAGCTTGACCCCTTCCTCCTCTCTGTGGCAGCCCCTCAAATATTGGAAGACTGCTATCATGTCTCCCCTGGTCCTTCTCTTTACTAGACTAGCCAAGCCCAGTTCCTGTAACCGTTCTTCATATGCCTTAGTCTCCAGTCCCTTAATCATCCTGGTTGCTTAGTCCAGAGATCCCCTACAGCCATGATGGCGAATCTATGGCACGCGTGCCAGAGATGGCATGCAAAGCCCTCTCTCTGGGAACGAAAGCCATTGCCCCAGCTCAGCTCCGCTGCACATGCGCACCTCCCTCCGGCCAACTGGCCTTTGGGCCTCTGCCACACATGCAGGGGGGTGGTGCATGCATGCACAGGGGTCACATATGAATGGGTGTGCGGGAGTTGGTGTGTGCATGCATGGGGATTGTAGGGCGCCTGTGCAGCACGGATACATTGCATTTTGGGGATGCGCACGCTTGCGCTTTGGGCACTTGGTGCCGAAAAGGTTAGCCATCACTGCCCTACAGTATCACCGAGCAATGGCCATACAAGCTCACCCCCAACATATGGCAGCCTCTTCTGTTGGCTGAAAGCTTTTACAGTCAGGGAGCCCTTCTGATGTATTTATTCCCATACCCCAACGTTTTAGGGATAGGAAGAAGATTGCTGAGAGATTTGAGATTTTGCTTTGCTGACAATAGGGCTGTAGCAAAATATTTGTAGCCCTTGACTTACAACAGTTGCTTAGTGACCAAAGTTACAATGGTGCTGAAAGAAAGTGACTTACACCCATTGTTTACACTTGCAACCATTGCATCATCCCACCATCATGCGATCAAAATTTAGACACTTGGCAACCGGCACGTCAAGCTATTCTCCAAAGCCCCCGAGAGCAGGACAAGAAGCCATGGGTGGAAAATCACCAAGGAGAGAGGCAACTTAGAACTAAGGAAAGATTTCCTGAGAGTTAGAACAATTAATCCATGGAACAACTTGCCTCCAGAAGTTGTGAACGCTCTTAACACTGGAAGTTTTTTAAAAAGATGTTGGATAACCATTTGTCTGATGTGGTGTAGGGTTTCCTGCCTAGGCAGAGGGTTGGACTAGAAGACCTCCAAGGTCCCTTCCAACCTTGGAGGTTATTCTATGCTATTCTAATGTCCCAAGTCACATGATCGTCATTTGCGACCTTCCCAGCCAGTTGCTGATAAAAAAAAGTCCATGGGAGAAACCTGGATTTGCTTAATGAATGCATGATTCTCTTAATTGCAGTGATTTGCTCAATATCAGTGGCCAAAAACCATCATAAAGTGGGATGCGGTTCACTTAACAGCTGCCTTGCCTAACAACATAAATTCTGGTCCCATTGTGGTCGTAAGTCAAGGACTGCCTGTAGATCAGCAGAGGAATGTCCAAAGGTGTTTTAAAAAGCAAATATCTCAGTACTGAAGTCAGATAAAGTTGGTTTAACTCACACTGTGTTTTATTGCAGTTAATCTTGTCCGAATAATACCAAATGGACTCCTGGTGTTTTTTCCTTCATATCCGGTCATGGATAAAAGCCTGGAATATTGGAAAGTAGGTGTCAGTCTGTGCTCCCTTCAAATCCCAAGAAAGAAATACTCAGACTCCATGGGTTAGAGCAAAGTTATCCTTTTACTGGAAAATAAAGTGAAAGCTACAGATTTAATTCCGAATCTGAGAAATTGGCGGGCAGATCACATATACAAAGGAATGGAAATGCTCCCACCCACCAACGTCCAAAATACTCTTCCAATTAAAAGTTCTGAATATGATCATATGGCCATCTCCAGGTGGTGATGAGGCTTCTGTCAGTTGACCTTGACATATTTTGATAAAAGTTCGCAGTTGCGCAAAAGGGGACAGAAGCTAGCCAAGAAATGGAAAGTTAAAGAAAGGAATCCCCCTCCCCTTGCTAACCACAGCAAAGGAATGCAAAACACCTCCAGCTTTCTTCCCCTCCAAGTTCCCCCCTCCCTCCGTTGCTCATGACAGCCGAAAGAAATAGATTGGCATAGCAGCAGAGGAGATGCAATAGTTAGGATGCAGAATATATATATTATGGAAGATATCTTGAGGCTGACAGTAGGTTTCCGCTTTGGGGAAACAGACTAGACCTTAGATTGGGAGGGGGGGGGTTCTCCAAATTTGGCTACTTGTGGATTTCAACTTCAACAGCCTTCTAGAGAATTCTGGGAGTTGAAGTCATAAATGACTTAGATGAGCGAATAGAAGGGGCACTCATCTATGAGTGACATTAAGCTGGCAGGAATAACCAATATCCCAGATGATGGGTTCAAGATCCAGACAGATCTTGATGGACTTGTTCACTGGGCCCTTTCCAACAAAATGAAATTCAGTGTAGAGAAAAGTTAGGTTTTACACTTAGGCAAGAAAAACATTAACTGTAAAAGACAGGCTAGAAATAAAAATTAAAACAAGCAAGAAAATAGTAACATAACACCTGTCTGACCTTGATGAATATAAATCACCGGGACCTGACCGATTACATCCCAGAGTTCTGAAGGAGCTGGCAGATGTTATCTTAGAACCATTGTATCATATCTTTAAAAAATCTCAAGAGCACCAGGGAACTACCAGAGCATTGGAAAAGAGCTGATGTGGTTCCCATCTTCAAAAAAGAGAGGAGGAAACTACAGACCAATCAACGTAACATCAATACTTGGAAGATACTGGAAAAAATAATGAAAAAAACAAATCTGTGAACATCTAAAAACAAAGTTATAACTAGTAGCACAGGTTTGTTAAAAACAGATTATGCCAAACCAATCGTACTTCATTCGTTGACAAAGTGAATAAATGAATAGACCAGCGAAATACTGTGGACATAGTATGTTTAGACTTCAGCAAGGCATTTGACAAAGTAGACCACAACTTACTTCTCGGTAAGCATTACCACCAGATGGATTTGTAACTGACAAATTGTAATTGAGTAGTCCTTAATGGTACTACTAAGTAAGCAGTGGGGTCCCATAAGGTTCTGTCTTAGGCCCAATATTCTTCAATATCTTCATAAATGGCTTAGGTGGGGGAATAGAAAGGGAGCTCATCAAATTTGCAGATGACCCAGGCATGATATTCCGATTAAAATCGGAATTCCGATTTTTTGGGGAATCGCCCCCTCCTTTCCCCCCACCCCTTCTTCTCCTCCTTCCCCTCCCCTCGGAGGCCCCGAATCAGGAGTTGCTGGCGCGGCTCCGCGCGGCTCCAGTCCCGCGTTGCCTCAGGAAGGGAAAGGCAAAAAGGAAGAGCCGCGGCGGCGCTTTGCAACAGCAGCAGCGGCTCCTGGTTTTGCCTTTCCCTTCCCAAGGCAACGCGGGACTGGAGTCACACGGAGCCGTGCCGGCGGTAGCAACTCCTGACAGCCCCAGCCGGATACCTGAGCGGAGCCCGGGCGGTGCGAGCGGAGGCCGCTGAGCGGCAGGAAAAGGGAGCTGGGCCAGCCACAGACCAGCCTCCGTGCAACATGCCACCACCCGGCCCTGGCGAGGGAAAGCAGCGGGCGCTCCCCGGGCACGCGGCGGGGGGTCTGTTTTGGCCGGCCCCGATTTTTTTTTCAGAGCGGAATATCATGCCTGATGACCCTAAAGTGGCACGAATAGCCAACACCCCAGAAGACAAGGATCCCCAAAGATCTTGACAGACTTATCCATCAAAATGAAATTCAATGTGGAGAAAATCAAGGTTTTACACCTGGGCATGAAAAATCAGAGGTACAAGTACAAATTGGGTGAAACCTAGTTCAAAAACAGTAATTGTGAGAGGGACCCTTGGAGTTCTAGTGGATGATCACTTAAATATGAGCCAACCATGTGATGCAGCAGCCAAAAAAAGCTAATCCTAGGTTGCATTAACAGAGGGATAGAATCAAGATCGTGTGAAGTATTAGTGCCACTTTATAAAGCCTTAGTAAGACCACACCAGTTTTGGTCACCATATTATAAAAAAATACGTTGAGACATTGGAAAGAGTGCAAAGAAGAGCAACTAAGATGATTAGGGGACTGGAGGCTAAAACATACGAAGAATTATTGAAGGAATTGAGTATGTCCAGTCCAGTGAAGGACTGGGAGTGACATGATAGCAGTTCTTCCGATATTTGAGGGGCTGCCACAAAGAAAAGGGAGTCAACCTACTTTCCAAAGCACCAGAAGGGAAGACAAGAAGCAATGGGTGGAAACTAATCAAGGAGGAAGCAACCTAGAACTAAGGAGGAACTTGCTAGCAATCAACCAGTGGAACACCGTGGTTTCAGAAGTGGGTGCTCCATCACTGGAGACTTTTAAGAAGAGACTGGACAGCCACTTGTCTGAAATAGTATAGGGTCTTTTGCTTCAACGGGGTTGGACTAGAAGACCTCGAAGGCCTCTTCAACTCTATTGTTCTATGTTCCTTGAAGAATTCCCAGAATTCCCTATCCAGCCATGCTGGCTGGGAAATATGGGAGTTGAAGTCAGCAAGTCTTAAAGTAGCCAAGTTTGGAGACTTTTCCCTTAGATGATGGTGGAGTTCTCCCTACTTTTCTTTTATTGCAATCTAATCTCTTCTGTCTCTGCTTTGCTAGGCCCATGATTTTACAAAAAAAATAGAAGCACTGAAGCCAATGTTTGTAGAACCAAGACGCAAAGGAGCATTCACAGAGGTTGGTGAGACTTCATATTTGTTTTCCCAAGAAATGACTTTTCTTTTAGAAGCCTTGCGCAGTCAGTTGCTTTATGAATTGATAGTTTTGGATTAGAGTTATGTTCAGATGCTTTCATAAATGTTACTCTCAGCTTGTTAATGAAAGAAGAACTGGCCAAGAAAAATATATTTTGGCCTGCTTGCGTTTTTCCATCTTTCTTGGCCAAATATTCTTCCTTCATTAACAAGCTGAGAATAACATTTATGAAAGCATCTGGATATATAACTAATCCAAGACTATCAGTATTATATTATGGTAATTTAATGCTTTGAGATTCCATAAAGTTAAAACCACAGGGCTACTGTAAAAGAGATTCTCCCAGAACTGGTCCGTGAATGGAGATTGATCCTAAGAATTTACAGACAGATTATCCTCGATCTTCTGGATAATTGTTTTCAGTTTTACAAAGTGGGTCTTCAGAATTGAAGAAGCTTCTTGGATGAGAATTCTCCATAGACACAAAGCCACCCTGCTGTCCTGCTCACTCTCACACACACCTAATGGTTTAGTGGGTTTATTAATATTCCCCAGCACTTCCCAAAAACTCAGAACTATCCAGTCAAAAGCAGACCAATGCTAGTCCACAGAGCAATGGCCAGTAAGTGCATGAGGCACTTGAAAGTTTCCCACACGACAAATCCACCAGGCAAAATTAAATCCACAACACAAGAGGATTCACGAGGCAAGAAAAGTCCAGAGTTCAGAAGGCAAAAATCCAGTCAAGGCAGGAATCATGATCAGGAAAACATGCAGCTAGGAAATAAAACATTGTTCCCAACACCAGCTCCATCTATCTGCTTGCTAAATAGCCAGGTTATGGTGCAGCCCATCAAGAAGGTCAAGGCTGCCTCCTCGTGAGTAATTTGGCTGACTTTCACTCCTGCCTTTTTTCTGCCCTACTACCTGTTCTTGGATCAGGTGCAGGATGAATAAAAAGGCTTTAGAAAGTGTGCAGAGAAGAGCAGTAAAGATGATTAGGGGACTGGGGGCTTTTTAAAACATAAAGAACCGTTGCTAGAATTGGGTATGTCTAATGAAAAGAAGGACTAGGGATGACATGATAGCAGTGTTCCAATATCTCAGGGGCTGCCCCAAAGAAGAGGGAGGTAAAGCTATTCTCCAAAGCACCTGAGGGTAGGACAAGAAGGAAAGGATGGAAACTAATCCAGGATAGAAGAAACCTAGAAATAAGGAGGAATTTTGTGACGGAACAATTAATCAGTGGAATGACGTTCCTCCAGAATGCTCCAACACTGAAAGTTTGTAAGAAAAGATTGTTTGAAATGGTATAGGGCTATGGTTGTTGAGGTAATTCCCCGTTAGGAGAATGAGCGCATACAGAGAGACGTATTTGAGAGAAGTGTTTGAATAATACACACACAGCACACAGATACACTGTACAGTAAATGTAGGTTTTTACTTTCAGAAACGGTTTAAGCAAAGTTCAAAACAAGCAGTCCAAAGTCATTCACAGGTAAATCAGTCAGTTTTTAGTCCAGGGATAATCCAATAACAAAGTCCAGTATCAAAAACAGTTCAGTATCAGACTTACATCAAATCCAAGAATATCAGTCAATTATGAGGAACGGCAATACTCTCCAACAGAAGGAAACAGAGACTGACTCACACTCTCTTCTGAGACTAAGTCTAAGACTCCAGAAACACCAGAACAGGAACTAAACAACCCAGGTTTCTGGCTCCATCTTATGGACGTTTGAGAAACCACACCCAATTACCCTTTTAGGATTCTCTTAAAGAGACAGTATTAAAATGTCTATCCTGGTTTATATATTGTCCAAGCTGTTAGGTGACTCATATTCCTAACATTGGTCTTCAAACTTGGCAAGTTTAAGACTTGTGGACTTCAACTCCCAGAATTCCTGAGCTAACATGACTGGAGGAAGAGTTCTGGGAGTTGAAGTCCACAAGTCTTAAACTTGCCAAGTTTGAATAGCCCTGGTATAGGGTTTCCTGCCTGAGGGGTTCCTTCCAACTCTGTTGTTCTATTCTATTCTCATCATCACTGATGGGCTGCACTTGTGCTTCAGCCAAATTACTCTCAGTTGGCTACATGGAGCCATTGAGTAAGTCCCCTCCTGAAGTGCCTGGGACTGGTTCATCCTCCTTTGAATTGGCCTCTGGAGAGGCACTTGGGGGAGCCATCCCAGCCACAGAGCCATGTTTGTATGTCTTTCCTGAAGGCCAGGAGAGTGGGGCCCTGTCTTACCCCTAGGGTGAGGGAGAAACTGTTCCATGGGGTGGGAGTAACATCAGTGGTCTTCTTGAAAACTCTTGGACTTCTTTAGTTGACAGAGTCTGCAAGATATCTTCCCTGCCCTACCTGGGCAGGACAACAGGAAAAATGATTCCATAGATAATCTTATTCATTTATTTAGAACAGGGGTAGGGAACTATGGGCCTTTTATGACTTGTGGACTTTAACTCCCAGAATTCCTGAGCCAGCCAGGAATTGGGGGGGTTGAAGTCCACAAATCATAAAAGGCCCATAGTTCCCTACTTCTTAATTTAGAAGGTCAGGTAAAATCCTGCCAGATCTGTTTGGCTAACATGCTAAGTTTGAGATTGTTAAACCTTAGTTTTTGGGGCATGTATTTTATTCATATTATACAAAAAAAAAAACCCAGCTTGCTTGGTGGTAGGTGACTCGGTGACTTTTGCAAACGCGCTCAGTGGGTTAATGGGGTAACTAGGTTAGGCAGCCAACATATAGCTCATGTTGGCTGCCTAACCTAGCTAGTTTGGGGGCTGGCTACTTGCTTTGGGACTTGGTTACTGCATAATCATTAAAAAGAGGCATCACACAAAAAGACATTATACACATACTATCCCCTCTACTTGAATACTGATTAACATATTATTGCAGCATTAATTGCAAATAGATTCGATATTTTTTTAAAAAATTGGAGGGTTTGTTTCGTGAAGGGTGAGAACTAATGTGCTGTTTTCCAGTCTTGATTACTTGCAAGTGGGAAGGACACTGCTTGAATATATGTTCAGTTCAAGACTTGGCTTTTATTATGCACTCTACATGAGGCCACCCTTGAAAAGTATCCAGAAGCTTCCATTGGTTCAGAATACCGTGGTTTGAATGTTTTTGTGCACACCTAGATTTGTGCATGTGTTGCCTCTTGCAGAATCTGCATTGGCTGCTGATTTGTTTCCCATTCAAGGTGCTGGTTGTGGCCTTGAAATCCTGCATGGTTTGCAGCTAGGTTATTTAAAGGACCATCTTTTCCCCAGCCACCTCTACTCAATCCACCAGAGCAGGGAGGCAGGGAATGTTACAAGCTCCCTCTCTTAAAGAGGTCCATCTTGTGGAACCTAGAAAAGGGGCTTTTTCCGTGTTGGCTCACTCCTTGTGGAATATGATCCTTAAGGAGATAAGATTGGCCCTCACATTTCACAAGGCCCTGAAGACCTGGTTCTCCCACTAGGCCTAGGGATCCCAGAGTTATATGGAGCCTATCACGTGGCTGGTCTGTCTGTCTGTCTGTCTGTCTGTCTCTCTCCCCCCTGTGTGTGTGTGTATGTGTGTGTGTTTATTGAGTTTTGTCCTTGTCCTTGGGTTTTTATCTTTGTAAGCCACCAGGAGTCACTGAGTGATCTGAGCAGCTGTTTAGACTGACACGTAATGCACCTCTACTCGCAACTTGACAACAGAAACGAAGGGAGTGGGGAGGAGAATGCTTGGAATATATTGGGAGCTAGGAGGGAGTTAAAGAATCTATATGAGCCGCTGGCAGCCTGAAAAGATCCTGATACTTCAAGGCCGTGCGATGGGAATCTTCCGAAGGCGCAGACTGTTTTCCCAAAATAAAAAGAACGTGTTGGATTGGTGGACAATGGATGGCCCAAAAGAGGGAAAGGGGAAATGAACTAGCTGGTTTTTTGCACAAAAACCTCAGAGCTCGCTTGGCTTCTTCTTACCCTGTATGGATCTGTCAGTAAAAGTTATGCTCTTGGTTAAGTAATGTCCCAGGAGTTTCCTTTGCTGCATATGCCAACAGGACGGTTGCCGTATAAATTTTCTTAATAAATTAAATAAATTGCAGGTAGTTCTCAACCTGTGACCACAACTGAGCCCCAAATTTCCATTATTAAGGAAGGCATTATTAAGTTAAATGAGTTACGCTCCATTTCATGACCTTCTTTGCCACAGGGGTTAAGCGAATCACTGCAGTTCTTAAGAAATCAGGTGATCATACGTGAACGTGGCTTTGCCTCGTTGACTTCGCTTATTGGAAGTCAGCTGGGAAGGTTACAAATGGTGATCACATCACGAGGGGACACTCCAACTGTCATAAACACGTGCCAGTTACCTGAAATTTGATGCTGCAATGTTGTAAATGAAAATGAAAACCCAGTCATAAGTCCCTGTTTTCAGTGCGATTGCAACTTTGACTAAATCAATTGTATGTCAAGGACTGTCTGCACTTGAAGTGGGTGCCTAGCTTTTTCATGTAAAAATTCATTCCTGGTTGCTTTTCAGTTTTTTTCCAGCACAGAAAGTTACAGAGAGGACTTCTAATTGCTGGTACAATCAAACACTTTTAGTACTCTCTTTTGAACGAAGCCATTTCAGATGTTAATGTTATTTCTTAAATGCTTCCAAGAGCACCAAGTACATTTTGAAATCAAATACGTTCCTTCCTCTGGATTCCCTCTGAGAAAAATGCAGAACTCTTTAGCCAGTTCATGATGTTCCAGTGAGACTAACTAGGTGTCCCAAGAAAGGACGGTATGTGGTGTCCCTGGTGCTCTCTGAGCTTGGCTGTGTTCTTGCAGATGTAAGAAAAGACCCAACTAGGGGTCATCATCAGTGCTAGAAGGGGGAAGGGTTTGTGGAGAGGAAGAGGAGGAGGAGGAGGGCTTTCGAGCTCAGGGTTGAAATAAGGGGTCCTTGGTGTTCTCGTAGCTTGGTTGTTTTGTTGCAGATGTTTCATGACCCAACTAGGCAACATCATCAAAAGTCGAAGGGTTTGTGGAGAGGAGGATGACAACTCTGGAGTCCTTGGTGCTCTGAGCTTGGTTGTTTTCTTGGAGATGTTTCATTGCGAAACTAGCTAACATCATCAGTGTCAAGCGCAAGACGTCAGGAACCAGAATAGCGTTCAAAAGTACTACAAGTCTATTTCACGTTACCTATACATGAGAATCTGAGCTACTACGGTAATGGTCAAGGTGAATTGGCACCAGATAAGAGTCAACTGACTTCGGGGTGGTGGTGTTGGACTTAGGGGGGCGTAGAAACTCCAAGCTGATGATGCCTTCGACCCTGTCCTCTGCCCGGTCATTTCTAACAATCAGTGCTAAAAGGGAGTGGGTTTCTCTCTTGATGCACAAGTGACTTGCCCTGTCAATGTTAGTGGGACAATCAGGGAACTACCAACTCAGACAATCAAGCAATAAACAACCAGCCTAATCAAGGAACCATCGAGACAAAAACATTCCCACCAACACTGAGAAGGCAAGCCACTAGTATATAAACAGAGCAGTGATGATATTACCTAGATGGGTAATGAAACATCGAAAGAAAACAGACAAGTTCAGAGAGCACCAAAGGCCACACCACTACTTCCTCCTCCTCCTCCCTTCTTGTCCTGATGATGCTACCTAATTCGGTAGCAAGAAAACGGACTGCTAGAAAACCACCAAGTTCAAAAAGCATCAAGGATCCCACAGCTCAACCCTGAGCTACAAAATATTCTATAAGTAAAGTGTATATCTGACAGTAAAAAAAAAAAAATGTGAAAGGTTTCTCAGCTGAGAGAGCCAACATGGTCTGGAGACATTTCCGTGGTCATGTGGCCAGCCTAGCTATATGTGCCAAAAGTGCATTGGGTCACTGTTAGCTTCCCATTAAAGGGGCACCTCCTTATCTACCTGCATTAGCAGACTTTCAAATGTGATAACCCCACCAGACGCTTCCTTAGTTATCTCTCCAGATGTCAGCTCGGAGGAAGATGAACCAGATCCAGGCACATCTGGAGGGGGGTTTCTCAACAGCTCCAAGCAGCAGCTGTCTGAGGGATTTGGCTGAAGCTCGGCTGCAGCAGGGCAGCCCTGAGGCTTCAGGTGGGGGAAAGCAAGCCGCTGTAGCTGGTCAGTGATGAGGAAGAGGAACTGCCTGCAACACCTGATCGAAGAACACGTAGGGCAGAGGAAAGGCAGGAGCACAGAAGGTCAGCCAGGTTACTCACGAGGAGGCAGCCTCACCCCTCTGGAAGGGCTGCATTAGAAGCAGGCTGTTTCGCACAGCAGACAGATGGAGGCGACCCTGGGAACAGCATGTTCATTTCCTAGATGTATGTTTCCTGGACGTTGTGATTGCTGCCTTGCTCTGGACTGACCCCATGCCTTGACTTGGATCGTCCCTTGGAAAACTCTGGACTTTCCTCACCTCATGAATTCTCTGACATTGCGGATTTAATTTTGCCTGGTGGGTTGTTGTTTTTTTTTAAAAAAATGGAAAACTTTCAAGTGCCTTGTAGACTCGTTGGCCCTTGCTCTGTGGACTAGCATTGGTCTGCTTGTGGCTAGACTTAATTGGGACAGTTTTGGGTTTTTGGTGAAGGGAATATTAATAAACACAGTAAACCAGAGTGTGTGCATGTGCATTCTATTTGAATTAATCTAATTTTTTCCCCTAGGTTATGGAAGCCTATTATGAAAAGGTTGTCTGCCCAAAATCAAATGGCGCTCTTTTCTTGGCTGTGTGCAGGGGAAAGGTATGTGTTGCCCAAACGTATATATACCATATGTAATTAATTAATTAATTAATTATATATATATATATATGTATATATATATATATATATATATATATGTGTGTGTGTGTGTGTGTGTGTGTGTGTGTGTGTGTGTGTGTGTTTTCTTAAGTTTTCGCGGGTATTTACATGTATGGCCTTCAGCTTTGTTCGGGTATTTTCCCACGTCATAGTAGTGGTGCTTTTAAAGTTGTAGCCTTCAGCTTTGTTCGGGTATTTTCCCACGTCATAGTAGTGGTGCTTTTAAAGTTGTAGCTATATATATATATATATTTGTTTTCTTAAGTTTTCATGGGTATTTATATGTATGGTATTCAGCTCTGATCGGGTATTTTCCCACGTCATTATAGTTGTGCTTTTAAAGTTGTAGCGACGTTTCGGCAGAATCTCATCTGCCATCATCAGGCTTGTGTATTGGGTTCGTCTGTGAGTCAGGCTTTCACAGCCATTTCTGTATTAAATTTGGTGGCAGCCTCGTGCTGTGTTCAATTTATGTTTAGTTATTGTTATCTGATTTTGCAATTTTGAATCCTTTGGGGTACTCTGTAATTCAGTTTCTAATTCCTTAATTTTTTGTTGTATTTTGTTTTGCTGGGCGTATTTTTTCTTATTCCTCTTGGCGTTATAAGAGATTGTTATACCTCTTATTACTGCCTTCATTGTATCCCAAATGTTTTGTTTCGTAGTTGCTCCATTCATTTTAAGAAATAATTTAATTCCTCCTTGAGTTTGTTGATATATTCTTTTTCTCTTATTAACTGAGTACTTAACGTCCATCAAGTTGTGCAGAAATGGACAAATTAACTTTGGCATTAAAAAATAAAGACACTTCAATATACTACAACAGCTGGAACTGCTGGTACAAATGGATAGACCAAAGGTAGACTTTACACTAAAAGGCAAAAGAGGATAGGATAGATCCATAATAGTGATATACAGATATATGTGAGGATTAGGTGTGTGTATATGGCATAAAATAAGGATAAAAAAGAGATCTTACAAACTGTTGAAGATGAGAATGTTTTTAATTGTTTTCTATTTTTCTCTTTCTATTTTCTTCTTTCTTCTTTTTCTCTCTTTCATTTATGTATGTGTTGTTGGTTTGTTTTAATTGTAAAATCAATAAAATTTATTTTTAAAATAATAATCCAAAATTGTAAAACTCTAGAATGAGAGCAGAGTATATTCAAACTGTACAGTCAGTATAAACCTGACTAGGTTCTAGAGCAATGTTTTCAAACTTGGCAACTTTAAAAAGGGGTGGACTTCAACTCACAGAATTTCCCAGCCAGCACTTCTGGTAATCTAGTCTTCCTCACATCTCATAGCTGCCAAGTTGGAAAAACACTGGTCGAAACTAAAGCCTGTGTTCTCCCATCCAAGTCATAATTAGGCGCAATTCCAGTTAACTTTACCAGAAAAGCCAACATTGACTACGTACTACCACCTGATGCTTCGTCCATTGCTTATTTTGGATACGCTGCATTTCCTCCTAACTACAGCCAATATGTGGGCTGAAGATTTCTGAGAACAGGAGTCTACAAACCTTAAAAGTTGCCAACGCTGAGGGACATTGCTCTCTCGTATGCACTGGAAGCCACCTTCTGATTCCCAAAAGACTGAAAGAGGGCTTGTTTTGAATGGTGGTGTTGGAGAAAACTCTTGGGTGTCTGCAAGGAGATCCAATTAATCAATCCTGATTGACTCAAAAATGTTTTTTTAAAACAAACAAACAAAACCCTCAAAAGAGTTTTTTCCATCCCTCTGCCATCAGAACCGATGAAGCTTCCTGAATGAGAAGCAAATAAAGAAAAACAGCCCAGTTGCCTTTTGAAGAAAAAAAAAACCACTTTGAGGCAACTATGACCAACTATTCAACTGGTCCAAACCAGTAGAATCCCAGCCCTGCTACGTACCGTCGACAAAATAAAATAAAAAATGAAGCATCCAATGTTAACGGTTTTTATGTTTAAAAAGTCTTATTGTTTAATATCCAAGACAAAAAGTCAGAAAACCAAAATATGACTATCCCCTCCCAAATTGCTTATGAAATATGTTTCATTTATGTGAACTGTATTTAAATAATTTAAATACAGATTCATAATTTAAACAAGATTAAAAGACTGAATTGATGTTGGAATAACACATAGAAAAAAGAGAAAGTATTGCAAATATCCTGCATACAATAGCGTGCCATATTAAAAGAGGCAATGTCTGGTTTATGTAGCACTTAGTTTAATTCCAGTCTTTAGAAAATAAATTGACAAATAGATTTCTAAACTTTTGAGAACATTCAGGTTGTTAAAGGTCCTGTTGGAAGAAAATGAAGTAAGATTGTTCAATTATCAGTTTTTGACGTCACAGCAAAAACACTTTCCTTCCACAGTAACCTATCACAACTCTGTAGTGCATTAAAAGCAAGACACAAACTCAGTTTTACAATGCATCACTGCTTGTGTTTATTTTCTTAATATAATTTTAAGGTTTTGTGTATTAAATTATACACAAACATCCATCAATCCTGACTTGGAAGGGAAGAAGCTGAAGCTGAAATACTTTAGCCACCAAATGAGAAGAGAGGGCTCCTTGGAGAAGACCCTGATGTTGGGGAGGATGGGAGGCAAAAGGGGAAGGGGGACAAGCAGAGGAGGAGATGATTCGATGATATCCTCGACACAAGGAACATAAATTTGGGCAAATTCTGGGAGATACTGGAGGACAGGGCAGGGGGGGCTGGAGTCTTAAGGTCCATGGGGTCGCAAAGAGACACAACTTAGCAACTGAACAACAAACCATAAGAAAGGAGGCTCAAGACTCAAACAGTTGTTGACTGTTTGGATGGCAGGCTTTCATTGGCCTCTGCAGAAACTTGTGAGTCCTCAAAAGTGAGCAAGGTTAATAGCAATAACAACAGCACTTGGACTGACATATTGCTTCGCGATGCTTTACAGCACCTTCTGAGTGGTTTACAATGTCAGCATATTACCCCCAACAATCTGACCTCTGAAGGATGCTAGGCCGATTCAATCTTGAGACAGTCAGGATCAAACTCTGAAGTCTGTGGGCGAGTTAACCTGCCATATACTGCATTTAACCACTGCGCCATTAGGGATGAGCTCCCGCACCATCAGGAAAATCTGAATGTATATATATAAAAAGCGAAATACCATTCCACGCATTGTCACAAAATCTCCAGAAACGTAAAGCCTACAAACTTGAAATTTGGCACCTATGTTCCTCTTGGCTTCTAGGTGCTCACTAAGAATTTTTTTTTTTCCGAAATGATCATCAGAGCATTAGTATTTCCTATATTATTATTCACACGCTCTGATGCTAAGGAGTTCTACTCCCCCTCCTCACCTGAAAATAAATCTGCTCCAAATGCAAAACACAAACAGAGGAGAGGAGTTTCAGTTTCATAGCACCAAGCAGCTTTAGTACAGAACAGTTGAGCTAAGCCACGCCCAGGCTCCTTGCTGTCTCCTTTTTGCTCATACAGCAAATATGCTTCAATTTCCAAACAGCCCTCAACTCTCTCACACACTGACAGGACACTAGCCAGATGAATACCGATAGATGCTGGTAGGTAGAGGCAGAATTTTTTCCCCCTTATTTTCCTCCCCAAAAACTAAGCCCGACCACATAGTTTTGTAGCGAAGCACGGGTATCGAGCTAATATCTAATACAATACGTGTCAGCCCCTTGGGTCTTGGACAGCTCCTTGTGGCCAACTCGCCACAGGACAATTTAATGCTGTATCAATATTCAGTCACTTTTATTACTGGCGATCACGTTTTTCTCGAAATCATCGTAACCCTTGTATTTCTGGATTGTCTTTATTATTATTGTTCACTGTTTTGTCGAAACTAATTTAACTTTTGATACTTGTTGAATTGCCCCTTGTCGAGTTGTCCCTTTCTGCAGCAGCTTCATTCTTGCAGACATTTGTCCTTGTAGCAGGACAGTGTTGATCAAACTCATGTTTGCCTTCAGGCGAGCGAAGGTTTGGACTTTGCCGATAAGAATGGACGAGGCGTCATCATCACCGGCCTTCCGTACCCTCCTCGCAGGGACGCCAGGATCCTATTAAAGATGCGGTTCTTGGATGAAATGAAGGCAAAAGGTAACAGCAAGCAGGTAAGGGGTGTTCTGACCAAGGCTTCCTGAGACTATAATTAAACACACACTTAATCCAAACAACTCTTGTTTGATCTCATCACTGGGAATTATGTTCATTCCCAGCCTGTAGTGAGTCCCAAACAGTCCCTCGAGATAAGCACTCACCTTTCTCTCCTTTGAATTGCTGCCAACAACTAAAGGGCCAAATTAACTGTAAAAAAACCAACTGAAGTACAAAGTCCACACAGAGCTTCAAGGTTGAATCCGAAGAGAGTGAACGACTTTGCTTCCTGCAAACGTTTCTCTACCTTTGTATGTCCTTTATACCAGTGGCCCCCAACCTTTTTTGTGCCACGGCCCGGTACCGGCATCACAAAATGATCCACGGCCCGGTACCGGCAGCAGCACGCATGACAAGGCAAGGCGAGCTGAGCGACCGGCCAGCCAGCCGTCCCCCGTTTCTCCCTGCCACCTTCAACTCCTCCTTTGTACCTTTGTCGATGGGCTTCGCTTCGGGATGGCTTCGGGACGGTCGCTCGGCTCGCCTTGCCTTGGATGCTGAAAGAATCCTTAGTTTCGTTCTAAGGCGCGAGGATTCCTTCAGGACCCAAACGCCGCTTTCCAACCGGAAAAGCTCACCTGGAAGCACTTTCTCGTCAAACAAGATGGCGGCGCCCAGCAAACCGGTAGGAAATGTTCCACGGACCGGTATCGGTCTGCGGCCCGGTGGTTGGGGACCCCTGCTTTATACCTTATGGGAGGGGCAATCACCTCCCAGCCTTACTCCCCAGTCGCCCCTTTTGTCTTAGCTGCTCTTGCATCTAGCAGTTCTGCGCACTGGGAACAGGCTCCCGTTGTTCCTCTGCCTTGATGCTGCCAGACTCCACAGGCTCCAGAGGCAGCACCCCACTCCCAGATAGTCCTGACCCCATCTCTGCATCAGACGCAGGACCCTCGTCCGAGTCCCCCCAGACTCCCGGACTAGTCCCCGTTCTTCCCCACTGTCCGATTCTGCTGCTGTCTGCACTGGCTGCCGGTGAACCACAACAAGGAGATGGAGAAAGACGTTGCTTTGATCATAGAGATTAGCAAAACGTGTGAAAGTTTGACATTCCCAAACATCCCATTTTTGCGCCCAATGCGTGAAAGGTTTTCTTCCAAAACATTCCATTTTGACCTTGCAGTGGCCTCTTTGTCAGAAGTATCCTGCCTGGTTTTTAGTTGATCAGCCTGGATTCTAGTCTTTTTTAATGGCTTTTTATCCAGAGTTCTTGGGCTACAGGCACTGTTGCTGAATGCTTTCTAAACAGGCTGAACTGAGCTCATAAACATTCAGACCTTCTTTATTTTGTAAGGATTTGCCTGGCAGGTAGTTGCTATTGCTGTTGTAACATGTGAAACGTACATTCTTGTTTTCCATTTCAAATATTGTAAAAGCCTACCAGTTAAATCCTGGCCATGCCATCTGTCTGCAGTCTAGAAGGAGTAATGCACAGATTGTAAGCTCTTTTATATTGCTAGATTTAATTGGGGTTTTGTTCGGGATAGCGGTTTAGATAATTTCCCAGAAATGGGCCTGCAACTTTCCTCTGTTCTGACCAACTGCAGATTAAGACACTGATATGGATGTTCTCGTAAGAGGGAAGCAGAGATGAAAATTTTAAACTGTGTTTAGACTTTTACTTAAAAAAAAAAAAAAGACTGGGAATCCAAAACAGAACGCAACACTCTAAAATAAAGCTCTATTATATAAAGAAGATACAATAATATTAAAAGAAAAATGAAATAAGCTGGAACCACGGTGTTCACCAAAAGAGATGTTCTTGAAATATAAAAATTAAAAAAACTTTAAAAAAAATAAAACCGTACTCTTTCCACTATCTTTTAGTATTTGTCTGGAAACGCCTGGTACACACAGCAGGCTTCTCGTGCCGTGAACCAAGCTATTGGAAGAGTTATCCGACATAGGCAGGATTATGGTGCCATTTTCCTCTGCGACTGCAGGTGACCTTTCCTTCCAGTAGAATTGTTATTGTACCCTATGACTATCATTAAGTGTTGCACTTTATGATTCTTTTTTTTTTTGATGTTTTATTAATTTGTTAATTCCATTTTCTCTTTTCCATTACATTATTTTATCTCCAGCTTTTTTTTTTTTTTGAAAACAGTTTTATTAATTTTAACAACAAACAAAAACACATAAAACATAAAAACATCATCCTTTCCTTCATGAGTTTACAGACAGTGTGTCGGTTGGTTTACCACTTTTTTTGTGCATCCATTTCATAGTCTCCATTGTAGTTATATTACATAATAGCTCATATTATCAATCAACAATTATATGGCCTGATATCATTATTAAACAATCATTTGACTATAATTTTATTAATTCATACTTTAATGAGATAACTATAGTTTACTTAATTTATTTTATAGCAAATCATAAAGTCATACCAAGTCTATCTTAATAAAATTTTATAAAGATAGTATCAAAGAAAAAAAAGAAATATGTATTCATTGTTTCCTAAAGTTCTAAATATTCTATTATTATATTTTATTATCTAGCCATTGATAGAAAAGGTCCCAAATTTCATAGAATTGTTTATCTTCTTGTTCTCTAATTTCAAATGTCAATCTACTCATTTCAGCACATTCCAATATTTTCTTAATAATTTCTTCCTGTGATGGTATTTTCTCACTCTTCCAATTTTTAGCAAATACAATCCTAGCTGCTTGCACTTTATGATTCTTGATGAATGTATCTTTTCTTTTATGTATACTGAGAGTATTTGCACCGAGACAAATTCCTTGTGTGTCCAACCACATTTGGCCAATAAAGAATTCTATTCTATTCTATTCTATTCTATTCTATTCTATTCTATTCTAT